TTGTAGGGGTTTTGGTTTTTTTTTTTTTTTTTTACTTGCTTCCATAAATAAATAGGGCCAGCATTGTACTACGTGGACACAAAGCAACTGAAGATCTTTGTCCTTCAAGCTTTTATACACCTACTAAAACATGCAAAGTACACACACTTAGACCCCATTGTCCTACAGCCCTGGAACCACTAACACATTGATTTAGGCACCGACATAAGGGATCGCAGAATCAGCCCTGATATAAAACAGAAGTCTTTCAAAAATCGGAGTAAGAAAACACAGACCCATGTACATGAAATCAAGCCCGCTTTCAATCCTGGAGAACTATTCCTCATGCTAATAGGAGCCAACGCTCATTGCCATGCACCAAGCTTTCAAAACGCCTTTCTCCCACCGCACGTGCACTTCACATTCCTTTGCTGTCTGTTTCCCTCCTCTCCAAGCTGTTTGTATTAAGTGCAAGCTCTGAATTCTTCAGGAAAAGGGCTGTGTTCTCAAAAGCCATGTGCAAGTCTGGCCCTGCTAAGTAGTTACAGTTAGTTTAACCATATTGTGACTTGACTGCATTAATGTTACACACATCTGAGTTGTTCCCCTGCTGCCACTACATAATTTCAGAGCTCTCACTCCAGAAATAGGTTTCTTAAAGAGCAGAGAACTGTATCTGCCATTAATCTAACAACATACCCAGAATCTGTTCACACCCTTCTTTTGCAATTCATTGCATAGACGGTCTTTTTTTAAAGGGGTGAAAAGGGGAAGCCACACACAAAAAACCCAAATCATTCTAGTCCAACCACTGCTTTGCACCTAACGAAGGATCTTCCTTGCCAAACGCCCACCCCAGTAAGACTTCCTTAGTCACTCTACCCCAGCAACATTTTGTCTTCCTACAACCAACTGTATAGCTTCTTTCCCAACTAAGCTTTTATTTCTACAGCATGGGTGGGGCAAATGCGGCCCACCAGACCATTCTGTCTGGCCCACAGGGCCCCTAAAAAATTAGAAAATGAATATTTATCTGCCCCAGCTGCCTGTCACATGGCCCTCAATGGATTGCCAAAACTCAGTAAGCGACCCTCCACTCAAAGTAATTGCCCGCCCCTATAAACTATGGGAATCAGGCATTTTTCCCAGCTGAACCTGATAATTTTCTCTACCAGGGGCAAATACTTATTCTTAAAAAAAGCTCAGCCTCAAACAACTGATCCTTAAAAGGACAGACTACCCTTCTACAGAAACCTTCAAAGCAGGAGAAGTGGGCAGTGTATAGATTATGATATGGGATGTATTTGGTAGCTATGTTGATCAGAGACAAAAAGAAATACAAAAAACTAAAACTTTTGGTTCCAAAATGATACCTTTTATTAGATCAACTGAGAAATGACCAAAAAAAATCCTTTCAGTTGGTCTAATAAAAGGTATCATTTTGGAACCAAGAGATCTAGATTTTTGTTTAGCTTATGATATGACACATAGTTGAGCCATTTTGGTTGCATACAGTAGAGGGCAGTGTTACCCTTCCATACAAACTCATTCATGTGAAGGTTATACAGTAATTTGGCCAAAAAATGGGTCTGTCTCATTCATTTTTACTCAGTTAAAAGATTTTTAAAAAATCTTATTCAGGGGTTAAAGAAACATTTCAATTAATTTAGTTTATTGGGTAAATAAAAACAAGGGCTTATAAATTTTATTTCAGGAAGTCTGATATAGCATTCTTGTTTAGCTGGATTATATGCTTGTTTTTTACATCCAGTTAAAAGAATTCATGGTTAAGTTCAAAGTTCAGTCACAACTTCAGCACTAAAAGAGGCCAGCCCTCTCTGTGGTTTGTGGTTTCTCTTGTCATTCTCTTGCTAGGAAGATTGCGCAAGATCTCATGGTAGGAGGTAATAATTTTACATCTGCTGGTGATTGTTTTTGTTTACTGGTAAATGTTATTGATTTTATCACTATAGTTACCCCCTGCTTTCACCATGAAAATAATTATTTTTGATTCGTCATGAAATCATGGGACACCAACTGGTTAGAGTCGCACCCAGAGGGTGGTAGTGGATGGGTCCTTCTC